CTGGCACCGCAGGCAACGCTGCCCAGCCGCCTCACAGCCCCCGACGGCGCGGCGGAGGCCGGGTGGTACGACTGTGGCCGCCCTTAATTTAGTTGCATTCAAATAAAGGTTGTCATGCACTCCGGTAGCTAACATTGTGTGCCCCCCCTCCCCTGCGCCGTCAAGGCAGGGGGTAGTGAGGGCAACGGTACAGCCCTCTCATTCCCGGAACCGAGTCGATCTCAGCACAGCGGATTTCACAGAACACTCTCTGCCTAGAGCCCGCTCCAGCGAGAAGTAACTTTCCAGGAAGCCTCCGGGCCCCGACGGCAGCTGGGATTTCTGCCTGAGCGGCGCGAGCTCCCGGGGTCACCGGGGGTTCCGGGGGGGGGGGGGGAGGCCGGGCCGCCCCGGCCAGCTCTCGGGGAATAAGGTCCACTTTCCCCTAAATCACTCGGCCCGCGAGGACCGGGGCTCTGGGCTCAGTCTCCCTCCTCCCTCAGGCGCGCACACAGCAATTTATAGACGGGGAAAGGCAGGCGCGTCCGTAGCCGAGCCCAATATAGAACCCTGGAGTTTGGATGCGATCCGACACTCAGTCAAGGACCGGGCTGCCCAACTCTGGCTCTCGCCGCGTGCCTCCTCTCTCCCCTCTCATCCCTTGCTACCCTCTTCCCTGCTCTTTAAGGAGATGGTTTAGGCAAGACGTCAAGGTCAAAACGCTGGAATCCCTGAGGCTCGGCGCCTCTGTCCTGCTCAACGCGGCCGAGTTGGAGGAAAACTAAACCGAAAGCCCCTTCCGCCTACGTGGGCAAGACCGGAGAACCCAGATCGGCTGGGTTTCCGCCTCGGCATTTCTGAATCCTGTTTCCTGGAAACCATAGAGATAGGGTTCAGACTCGGGAGAAGCCGGGTCGCCGACCCCAGGGCGCGTGCACGCTCGGGCGCGCTCCAAAGTCACACCGCCTTCTCAGGATTGAAACCCCCGAAAGCCATCTCCCAGTTGTTCCCGGTAGCCAGGTCCAGGAGACGACGGCGGGGCGGGGGTGGGTGGGGGTCCTCAGCTTCGGAGGCCTCAGTCCAGTCCTAAAACCGGGGGCGGGGGTGACGCACGCGCAGCGCCGCGCACCCCTTCTGCGGCGGAGGCGGGGTCAGGGTCGGTTCTCAGGGGCTGGGGCTTCTGACAATAAAATGCTATTTTGTGGCTTTTCCCGTCCTTCCTCCAGAGAGGACAAAGGTGGAAAAGGAAGCCGAGATTTTAATTTCAGGGGACGGAGGGAGACGCTCTGGACAGTTACAACAAAGTAATGGCACTTATTGTAAATTAGGCAACCCGCGGTTCGGGGAGCTCGAACGTAATCGTGTTTTTACCACTGCCGAACACTAGAGGGAGGTCTCCTTAAGGCCTGAAACCCACAACCTCCCCTTCGCCCCGCCCCTGCTCCTCACTGACCTAGTTTGGCTGCAGCCTCCCCATTTGGAGAACCCCTGTACCCCGTCCCCCTGTCCTCTCTCCAGGCCGGCCATCCTATTATAGGCACAATCCAGTAACTCCAACATCTCGCTGAAAAGTCTGAGGGCTATCTGAAAGCGCAAGGCACCCTTCAGGGGAAGGGACAGGAATTTTTATCAAGGCTGGGGCTGCCGCAGGGAACTGGCATCCGGGCGCCTGCCGGACCGGTCCTAGGGTCCAGCCACCCGGCTCTGGCGGAGAGGATTAGGGTCAGCCCAACGGGTGGGAAGGGACACTCTTCGTGCTCTTGGCCGGAGGGTGGAGGAGGTGACAGTAGATAAAACGCGTTTAGTAGTACGATGGCCTCAGCAACTGCCTTGGGTAACCGAGGTGTTCGAGGACGTTGTGTCCTGACTTTCATTTCTATCACAGTTCCTGTCAACAGCGCTGCTCTTGCAAGCCCGTAGGCTTCTAGGAAACGCAATAAAACAGAGGGATGTGTTTTATCACACAGATCTGAAGAGGAGCAGCAAAGGGACGATCCCCGTGCGCTCAGAAGGCCGGAAGACACTGCCAGCAAACGACATCCCCAGACACAGCTCTCCCCGCCGTCCCGACTGGACTGGGCTCGGGCTCCGCAAAAAAGGCTGGCGGGGGAGGGGAGAGGCCTGATCTCCCGAAGAAAAGAATGCCTTTTAAAATTTCATCTGGCCCGAAGTCAGCCAAGGTCTGTATTCACGTTAATGAAGATGGAAGGCACTAACTGTCCTTGGAAAGTGATGAGGCAACCTCACCGCCCTTCAAACGCGTCCCCAGATTTGTTTCCAACGCAGACAGAGGCGCATTTCTCTGACGCGTCCTCAGTCCGACAGCTCCCGCAGAGGGAGAGGCAAAACTGGATTCCGGCGGACGGGGCGCGGA